TTAAAACTTGACTCTTTCTTCTCTGACTTTTCTCTCTCCCTGCCTCCCCAAGTCTACTCACTCCAAGTCTCACTATTTCCATTTTTAAGTCAATTTCTCTTACTTCCTAAGAGCCACACATTGCACTGTTGTTATTAGGTGTCACTAAGGGACATCATGTTTGGCAGAATAGAGGGGCAGCGAAGGAGAGGAAGACCCTCGATTAGATGGATCGATTCTGTGAGTGGAGTGGTGGGAATGAGTGCGTTTGGGATGGCGAGGTTGGCACAGGATAGAACAGCGTTTAGAGCTCTTGTACATAGTGTCGCTATGAGTCGCAAACGACTTGATGGCACATAACAACAACAAGAAGTTGAGTACAGCTCATAACGACCCTATGAACAGCAGATCGGAACCCTTTCATATCCTACAACATCCTCATCATCTCTGATATACGTGAGACTATCGCTGTAGTCATTATGTCAGTCTTACCTTGTTAGGGATCTTCCTCTTTTTGAAGCATGATGTCCCTTCCCAAGTCATAGCCTCTCTTAGCGACTTGCCCAAAGTATATGAGATGAAGTTTCATCATCCTTGCCTCCAGGGAGCATTCTGGTTGCACTTTCTCCAAGACGTATCTCTTCTTTTGGCAGTTGTTGATGAGTACCATCAAGTCAGAACTGACTCATAGCTGACCTTCCAGTGGGTTTTCAGAGACATTTAATTGCACAGGAAGAGATTGCCCATCCTTCTCCTGTGGAACAGCTGGTAGATTCGAACCACATGCCTTTGAGATTGTAATGCACTTTCTTAGCACTAAGCCAAATGTCCTACTTAGTTTTCTCTCTCTAGCAATCCTGTGAGGATAGGTAGTATTCTCAGTCAGGTGGGAAATCAGCTGACAGGGATCAGTTAACCCAACGTAAGACAACGAGGCAACAGATGAGTTGGAGCTCAGAATTGTTGAGATTCTGCCATATTTTATTGTTGTTGAAAATAAAATTCTGGATGTGCTTACCAGTCTATGCCAGGAAATTTGGAGGACAGCTGCTTGGCTGACTGACTAGAAGAGATTCATATTTGTTCCCATTCCCAAGAAAGGTGATCCAACAGAATGTGGAAATTATTGAATAATATTATTAATAACACATGCAAGCAAAATGGAGATCTGCTGGAGATCATTTAACAAACAACTATAATGGTACATAAATAAGGAACTGCCAGAAGTTCAAGCTGGATTTAGAATAGGCCGTGGCATTAAGAGTATCATTGCCCATGTCAGATGAATCCTAGTTGAAAGCAAAGAATATGAGAAGAATGTCTCTTTGGACTTTATTGACTATACAAAGGTATTTGACTATGTGGATCATAACAGATTATAGCTAACAGTGAGAAGAATGGGAATCCCAGAACACATAATTGTGCTCATGAAAAATTTGTACCTAGGTCAAGAGGCTGTTGTGTCAACAGAACAAAGAAATATTACATGGTTTAAAATTAAGAGCTGTGTATCAGGGTTATATCCTCTCTCCATACTTATTCAATCAGTATGCAGGGAGAATTATTTGAGAGGCTGAACTCTGGAGAAGAATGTGGCATCAGGATTGGAGGAAGACTCATCAATAAATTATGTTATGTAGATGACACAACCTTGCTGAACATGAGGAGGCCTTGAAACACTTGCTATACAAGATCAAAGAGCACATTTCTGAAAAGAATTGCCTCTCAACATCGAGAAAACATCTCACCATTGAACCAATAAGCAACATCATGATAGATGGAAAAAAAGACTGAAATTGTCAATGTCTTCATCTTGTTTGGATCCACAGTCAGCAAACACCTGCAGTCAGGAGACACTGTACTGAGGAAGTCTGCAATCAGGGACCTCTCCAAATTATTGAGGAGCATTTGTGTCCGTTTGACGACTAACATGTGCCTGATTCAGATCATGGTCTTTTCAAATCACTTGCTGTTGTACCTGAGAATAGGACAATTAATAAGGATGACAGAAGAAGATATATATGAGCTGTGATGTTAAAGAAGAATACTAAATATCCCATGAACTGCCAGGAGAAAACAGATCCATCCTGGGGAAAATAACAGCCCGAGTGCTTTTGTGGAGGTAAAGATGACAAAGCTTCATCCCACATACTTTAGGCATGTTCCTAAAGGAGACTTTTTTCAGAGAGGGACCTCATGCTTGGAAAGGTGGAGCGTCAGCAAAAGAGAGGAAGCCCCTGGCTCTCCACTTCAGAGGTAAAGGGGGTTTCCTTCTCCTTGGAACCCCTGTGGTATTTTTACCCAGCTCTCTTTAGGGCAGTTAGAACTAGCCGCTCTATTGGTACCTAAGTGATGCATGTCTTGTTCCCCCAGCCTTGTGTCTCCCAGTGTGTGTGCCCTCAGCCACAAGGTCTGAGGCTAAGCAGCACACAGGCAGCTTCCCATGGGTGACCAGTCCGCTGACAGCACATCAGGAGCTTAGCTGCTTTTTCAAAGAATTGTCTTTACTTTTAAATTTACTTCAGAGAAACAAAATGAAGAAGTCAGCTGTGCAGTAAAAAAAAAAAAAATTTTAAAAATATTATCATCTAAAGTTAAATAGAATAACTTTTATTTATTGGTGGCTTGGGATTGCCCACAGACTGGACATTTGGAAGTTGGCATACAGTAGATCTGTGTGTAATAATCCTGCTGGTGGGCTTGAGCAGCTCACTCAACCTTGTAGGACCTTGGTTTCCTTAGAAGTATGTGCTCATATATACTGAGTAGACATGAGGGTGGCAAAGGTTGGTAGGGATGGTCTTTGAGGCCTCTTGTCCAGATGTATTGCTCCCAGAGTTCCTTAAGGAAAGCAGAATAATGTAGTGATTAAGAATGGAGGCAATTTACTGTGATCTAAAAGAAGAATATGGGCCCAGGACTTAGTGTATCAGTTTTAAACCTTTTGATTGGAAGCAAAAAGGAAAACAAATAAAATCTAAACTCAGTGCATTTAAACATTAAAAGGGAATCTATTGACTCAGTTATTAGAAAGTTTAGGACTGAGTCAGATTTCCACTAGAGTCTAATTTAATTCCTACATTGTCGATGTCTTCAGCACTGAGACTCCATTCTCCCAGTTCTGCATCCTCCAGGGGTAACTTTATTTTCAAAAGAGCAGAATGGTTCCAACAGTTCAAGGCCTTACATCTGTACATCACTCTTCCTGAAAGCAGGAAAGAACTTTTCTCCTCACCACCAATGTCATGGTCTTTCCTCTGATTGTGACATTTCATGTTATTTGCTCATTCTTCATCCAGACTCATACTAAGGGCTAATTGGCTTCGGTCAGTTTAGACTGAACCCTAGAGTTTAGGAAGGCATTAGTCCCACCAAATCACATGGCTTTTACACAATGGGTGCAAGATAGAATGAATGCTGAGACGTTTAACCACACCATCCACTGGTTCAGTCACATTGTCCATGATCAGATTCCACCTCTGCTAGCAGTGTAATCTTGAATACATTGCTTGACTTTATCAAGCATCAGTTTCCTCATCTGCAAGATAATAATTGAGGCCTTTGAGCTGTGGTGTTGGAGTATTGAATATACCATGACTGCTAGGAGAACAAATTGGTTCGTCCTAGAGAGGGTGAGACCAGGCTGCTCTTTGGTGGCAAGGATTCTGAAGCTTCATCTGACATACTTTGGACGTGTTGCAAAGGGGGACCAGCCCTTTGAGAGGAATGTCATGCTTGGGAGAGTGGAGGGACAGCGCAGAAGAGGAAGACCCTTGATGAGATGGATTGATTCAGTGATTGGGATAATGGGGGTAGGTGTGTCAGAGACAATATGATTGGCATAGGACAGAGCAGGGTTTAGGGCTGTTGTACATAGGGTCGCTATAATTTGCAGGCGTCTCGACGGCATATAACAACAACACAACAACAAAGATAATAAGACATTATTATGAGAATTAAATTTAACAACTGGAATAGCACTTACAGGACCCCAGTGGTGCAGTGATTAAGTTACTCAGCCACTAACTGAAAGGTTGTTAGTTTGAAGCCACCAGTGGCTTCGCAAATGATGTGGCAATCTATTTCTGTGAAGATTTGCAGCTAGAGACTGTGGGGCAATTATGCTCTGTCCTGAGGATGACAGTGAGTCAGAATCCACTTGACAGCCAGGAGTTGGTTTTGGTTGATGAAAAGCACTTACTTATCATACTCTTGGCACAGACAGTAAGTATTCACTAAATTATGTTGATGACATTATTGATGGTGAAATTGAAAAAGTACAGGGAGCAATGACATTAGCTCAAATTTAGGAAGAAGAAAAGTTATTGTAATTAGTTAGAAGTGTGCATAATCATCACCTTGAAGGCTCCTGTTCGTTCTGCTTCCCACAACATACCCTTCCTCATCTGCCTTTCCTGACTGTTGTTATGTTCTTATTTTCTAGGCTTGTTCCTTTGCTTCCCTAAATCTCTCTTTCAAAGCCCAGTCTTAAGTGCCACCTCTTCCAAGTAGCCTTCCTTGATCTTTTGTGTAAATTCTCATTGTCTTTCCTTCTTTTGTATTCTAGTTAAATTCACAGTTAATAGTTGTAGGGCAGTGATTGGTATGACAGAGTGACTTGGATCTCCCCAGAATCAGGTTAAGAGCTTAGTCTCTGGAATTTGAAAGACCTGGCTTTGCCACTTGTCAGTGTAATGGGAAATTCATTCAACATCTCTATTGTATTTGTGAAGAACTTATTAGTACAGGCCTGACACAGAATAGTTATTAGATTTAGTGGTTACTATAATTAATATCAAAAAAGCAAATTCTAGGTTATAGTCTCTCTCAATTACTTCTATGCTGACCACAAAGTAGGCGCTAAATAAACACTTGTTAATGCTTTTTTAGGTGTAAGGAAGCCTTCACAACTATCTCCCTCACAGAAAAGAAGGGAAAAGTAGCCCAAAAACCTAGGCAAAGTCAGTGTAGTAAATTAGATACTGTGGTGTGACAGAGTGAGACGGCTCATGTCAGCCACAGGAAGCTCAGAGGAAACCAACAAGAAGCAGTTCTGTGTTTCCCCCTCCAGCCGTCACGTTCATCACTGCTCGAGTCCTTTCATTCCTCCGGTTATGAAATGGGAGTCAACCAGTCCATGACCTTTCCGCCTGTAAGAGGACCCCACCTTGTAGGCTGCGGGGATGTGATGGAGGGTCAGAGTGTCCAGGTAAGTGTCTCCTCCTCTTTCCCCATGTGTCTCCTACTGCTTTTACATGTCCTGTGAGTTACTGGCTAACAAGTCAGACTGAGCCGTCCTGAATGAGGGAAAGTGAGGCAGCCACTGGTCTAGATTTATTTATAAAGCCCTGGTGGTTCTGCTGGTGGGGCCCCTGGGAAAAAAATCCCGATACTGGTTTTTGTTGTTTTTTTTTCTCCACAGTAAACAGTAAACACTCCAGTATACAGAGGTAGGGGATTATTTTTACAGCTAAGGGTTTTTCACCTTTTGTATTAGTAAACACCCCAGAATACAGAGGTAGTGGATTATTTTTACAGCTAAGGGAGCCCTGGTGGCCTAGTGGCAAGAAGCTGTACTGCAGTCACAAAGGCACTTGGTTCAAGGCCACCAGCTACTCTGTGGGAGAAGGATGGGCAGTCTCCTCCTGTGTGATTAACTGCCTCTGAAAAGGTCCTCAATGGGTCAGTCCAACTCTATGGCACACAACAACTACAAATGCATTGGGGATTGAAGTTTCAAAGTCAGCTTTTAGCTCCTCTCACTTTACTTCATGGCAGCTCCTGGAGACAATGTTTTAGCTCATCCTTCCCTGAGTACATGAGTACATGCCCTTGGCCTTTCACTCCCCAAGCTAAGGTGGAAGACAGTCCCCTTTTCCTCCTCTCCTGCCTCCATGAGAACTCTGGTGGTTGCACTGCCATCCCAAAGGCACTTGGTTCAAATCTACCTGCAGCTCCTCAGGAGAAAGATAGGTGCTCTCCTCCCATGTAACTTATAGCCTTCTGAAAACTGACTGGAGGGTCAGTTATGGGTCAGTTCCCACTCAACAGGCTGTAACAGCAACAGCAACAAACCTGTGTTTCCCCTGCCTTTGTTTGCCTTCTGGGGTTTCCTTTCTCAGTTCTCAGGTCTTTCTTTGCTATCCCCTGGACTCCTTGGTAAGAGACATACACCTCCTGGTAACCTTTCACTTACTCGTATGTAAAATGAGTGTGCTGCTGTTTCCTTCAGGCCAGCCAGGAGGAGTGGCTGGGCTCTTCCACTGATCCCACCCCATGCAACACGGATGGTCCTCAGACCTGGGCTCAGGGCCAGCTTTTAACCTGTGAGGTCCCAAGCATGGAAAAGACTTGCTGCCCCTTAAATAGACTAATTAAAGTTACAGTTAAATATTTGAAATAACATAAGACTGACAGGTACATTAAATATGAAATTACGTCTTCCTGATCTTTGTGAATACAAAATTCAGACGTACTAGGGAGCTCTTGTGGCCTAGTGGTAAGAAACTGCATTACAATCCCAAAGGCTTGCAGTTTGAATCTGTCACCTGTTCTGTGGGAGACTAGACAATCTCCTTGTGCATTTAACAGCCTCCGACAACCCCCTGGAGGGTCACCTATGGATCAGTTCTGACTCTGTGGTACTCGGCAACAAGTTGAGCCTCAAGTCCCCAGTCCCCCCCAATTTTGGTGCCCTGCTTTGCGAGTGCCCCAAACGCCTAGCGAGCAGTGTGTTTGTTGGGAAATCTAGCAGTCCTTGGGCTTCTTGTTCTCAGCAGTTGCTCTTTTCTTTCCCTCAGGGGAGTTTCTTTCGACTCTTCTACCCCTGTCTAAAGGCAGAGGAGACCCTGGAGCAGCCCCTGTGGATTCCTCGCTATGAGTACTGCACTGGCCTGGCTGATTACCTACAGTTTAACAAGCGCTGGGGAGGTTTGCTGTTGAACCTGGCTGTGGGTAAGGGCATGGGGTTGCGACACCTGGATGCCTTTCTAGTTCCTTTATTATGTTCCTAGAATATCAGCAGGCAGGCACAACACTTTATAGCTTGCATTGTTCAGAAGAGATTATTGTTCAGGTCTTTGGTCGCAGGATATTATTCATTTGTTCAGTGCAAAGTGAGAGTTAGGAGAGCTCAGCGTGGAGAGTTAAGAGAGAATTATATACAAAAGTGTTTGAGTTTTGCAGTTAATCTGCCCTGGGATCAAATCTAGACTTTGAACCCAGCCTGGATTAAAAACCGTGGACTTTGGGCAAGTTGGATTTGAGGCTTGGTCTTGTGGTTGTTTTTTTTTCCCATTTGTTAAATGTTTACTTTCCAGAGTTATATGGATATATCTTACTGTAGTACTTGACAAATAGAGCAATTTTTGCAAGTGATGGTGGTTGTTATGTGCTGACAAGTCGCCTGTGACTCAGCGACTTTCTGTACAACTTCTCTGAACCCTTCTGTATGAGCTAACTTTATTGTCTCTGACACACCCACCCCCATTGCCCCAGTCACTGAGTCAATCCATCTCATCCAGGGTCTTCATCTCTGTGCTGTCCCTCCACCCTTCAAAGCATAATGTCCTTCTGCAAGGACTGGTTTCTCCTGACAGTGTAAATGGTAGCTGTTACTTATTAATTCAGTATGCATTAATTTCCACTCATTGCCAACTATTTTGTGGATCAGAGAAAGGAGTAAGCGTTTTCTGCATTTCTCACATCTTCTTGGTAGGGTCACACTGAATCCAACTTCTTAAAGGGCTCACCCTCCCCAAGAGTTCTGCCTCTTACCTTGGTTGTTGTTATGTGCTGTCAAGTCGCCTGCAACTCATAGCGACCTTACAACAGCCCTAAACCCTGCTCTATCCTGTGTCTCTGATACACCTACCCCATTACCCCAGACACTGAATCAGTCCCTCTCATCGAGGGTCATCCTCTCTTGCGTTGACCCTCCACTCTCCCAAGCATGACATCCCTCTCCAAGGATTGGTCCTGCCCTGCGACATGTCCAAAGTATGTCAGACAAAGCCTTCAGAATCCTTGACTCCAAGGAGCAGCCTGGTCTTACCCTCTCTAGGATGAACCTGTTTGTTCTCTTAGCAGTCCGTGGGTATACTCAAAACTCTTCTCCAGCACCACAGCTCAGAGTCATCAGTTCTCCTTCTGTCATCCCTAGTCATTGTCCAGCTTTCAGATGCACATTCGGGATTTACCCCATAGCTGTTTAATATTACCCCTTGAATTTATCTATTTTCCTGTTGTGCTCTTCTGCTCCTAGAGAGGAAAAAGGGGAAAGAGTCTGATTAACTGCCCTGGGATGCACGTGGAGGAACAGTGCTCCTCCAGGGAGGGAGTGTAACACATGCCTTCCCCAGTGCCCTCTCTAATGTGCCAAGGCTGCCCTTGAGATTACAGCTTTGAGAAAACCAGAGGGCGATCCCCCGTGTCTCTCTAGGATCTTGTCGTCTGCCTGTCGTCTGGAATGGCCCCTTTAAGACAAAGGACTCTGGATACCCCTTGATCATCTTCTCCCACGGCCTGGGAGCCTTCAGGTAAGAGCTGCTTTCTCCTAGACCTTGTCATAGTCTTTGCCCAGTGGCAGCTGCTGAGTCTGAACTATTCTCCAGGGGCAGAGAACTAGATATTTCCATCTGCTAGCTGTCTTATCTACCATCTGCTACACTCTCTAGCATTGAGTTCACCTTTTCTAGGCCTTTCCTGTGCTTCTTTCATCTCTTCTTCCAGCTTCATATCCTTCACTTCTCAGGTCCCATCATTGATAGAAATACACAGTTTTAGCTTTCTTTCTATATAACGTTTTAGAAATACTGAAGAACCTGAGCTTTATAAGATAGTCACCTATATGCCTACATGTGCATGGCTCTGTGAATATACATTCACTGTATACCAGTGAAAAAGGTAAACTTGTGCCCTGTGTTCATGGAATTACAGTCTATCCTATAAATCTCAGCCGTACTGCTTGTACTGTCTGTGAGCTTGAGAAGGTTTTATAGTTCACTGAGCCTAGGTTTCAACATCTGCCAGATGTGGAGAACACTCTTACAGGGTTGAGTATGAGGAATCAATTAGATTGACACCTAATCCATTCACATGCTTGTCCACACTCTCCATTTCTCTCCCAGGGGGAACATGGTGTTGATGATCTGTAAGATATATTTAACCAGACTTCAGGAAACTTTGACCTGAGTTAGATTTTTTTTGTTTTGGTTTGGTTTTTTTCTTGTTGTGTATTGTCGAGTCAGATCCAACTAGCACAAGAGGAGGTTGCCCATCCTTCTCCAGTGGAGCATCTGGTGGATTTGAACCGTGCGCCTTTGGGATTGCAGTGCAACTTCTTGGCACTAGGCCACCAGAGCACCCTTGACCTGAGTTTTATAATTCAGTATCCACTTAGATTCTTTCTATGAATTTTTGATTGTACATCTTGGTGTGTTATATTAGTATCCATTTAAGCTTGTCAATGTTTATCCATCAGCATACATAAAGTCTAGTTATGTTCCACATTTCAAAGGCATCTATTTTTTACTTCTTAACCCCTAAACCATTGTATACACAATAGCCAGAGTTCTATTTTTAAAACCAAATATATCTTGTCATTCCCAGACCTGGAGCAGTACTTTCCATATGTTGTTGTTCTGGTGTAGTGTCCAGTCGTAACTGACCTATAGCTGAACCCCTAGCAGGTTTTCAAGAGGCATTTAATAACACAAGAGGAGATTGCCCATCCTTCTCCTGCAGAGCAGCTGGTGGCTTCAAACCACATGCCTTCAGAATTGCAACGCAACTTCATACCACTAGGCCATCAGAGCTCCCTATCTCCTAAATAATGAGTAGTTAATAAATATTTCTTGAATGAATGTCACTCCTCTGCTTAAAACCTTCCAATAGCTCTTTGAGCACACCAAAGCTCTTTACCTGATCTTACCTGGAAGCAGGTCCAAGATAAATGCTTCTAGCGCTATTTCTTGCTACTTGCCTGTTTCCAGCTCTAGATAAACTGACCTTTTTTTACTTACTTAAATTGACTCTCTTGTTTCCTACGTCAGTGTTTTTAATCTGTGCTTCATTTTTCAGCTGCTCCCTTTGCCTAAAATATCTGCTATTCTAATCCTCTCTTCTCTTCTGCTTCTTCCTTTGTGTGCTAACTTATTTTTTAACTTCTCATTGTGATTGACGTACAAATTTACAGGGTAAATAGATATTCTGACATTTTGCTTCATGATGTTTATTGCCATCCTCTTAATGTCATGGCTCCCTTGTCACCTCTTTCCTATGTTTACCTTTTTTCTTTGTCCTTTCCTGTGTTTTCCTGCCTTCTGAGCTTTATCTCTGGACATATGCTGCCTTTGGTCTCACCTGATTGTTCTAAGACATTGATACCTTCCTGGTTTTATTATTCACCCTCTAACCCTGGGTGTTGACTAAAAAGTAAGTCACAAGAGTGAAGTCAGCGTTAACTTGATGGGTGACTAAGGGTCATAGTCTTGGGGGTTCCACTAGTCTCTATTAGACTAGTCAGCTTGGTATTTTGTATGATTTCATGTTATCTCTCACTCCACCGAGGACCTTCTGTGGTGATCCCTTTCAGGATGATTGACAGCAGTACCCAGGCATCACCCAGGTCCTCTGGCTTCAGGGTGGTGGAAGCTGAGGGTCCTGGGGTCACTAGCCCTTTGGACTGATTGTTTCCAGGCATCCATGATTTTCTCTACCCTTCCTTTCACTGGATGGATAGAGACCATTAGTTGCTCCTCAGGTGGCTTCTTGCAAGCCTCCAGGACCTACAAAGTCATAGTTTTTTCAACAGAGAGCTTGTTAATGAGTGAAAGGATGGATTCAAGGACTGTTTTGCTCAGTGCTCAGTGCTCATTTCTTCATTTTGCAAACATCTGTTGAGCACCTATACTGTGCTAGCCTCTTAGCTTGAGAAGGATGTACAGAGATAAATAAATGGTTCCTGCCCTCAAGGAACTTGTATCTGTTGTGGCTGCCAAAATAGAGACCCACATAATTATAGCATGCAGTAGGAATTGGAGAGTAGATGTGGAAATTAGATAAGAAAGCCAAGTAGATCGTTTTAGTGCCCTCCTTTATTAAAAAAACAAAACAAAACAAAAAACAAAAACACCAAAAAACAAACCAAACAAAACATTATCTGACTGTTATGTGCCAGAGCTTATGCCAGCGTTGCGTATTTGAGTTCTGCCCTCAAAAATATTATCGTTTAGTGGGGGAGAGAGACTAAGAAGTGTCCCCCATAAGTCCCACAGTTACTTAAAATGAAAAAAGAAATTTAAGATGAAAAAAAAATCACTCTACAAATCATCTCAAATTGTGGTGTGGCTTTTTTTGGTCTAAGAATCTGTGTTGAGACTTCACACCTCTCTAGGCTTCAGCAACCTAGTTATAAATATTCTTCATTAACCAAAGTGAAATCCCAGAAAAAAGGCAGGGAGGGAAAGGGATGCTGTTTCTTATTATGATGCCAGACTAAACCCACTGCCACCACGGCAATTCTGACTCATAGCAACCCCGTAGGGCAGAATAGAAACGTCCCTGTAAGGTTTTCCCAGGCTCTCCATCTTTACTGAAGCAGGCTGCTACATCTTCACCCCTACTCACTGGAGCTGCTAGTTTGAACTGCCAACCTTAGGTCAGTAGCCTGCAGTTAGGCTCTTAACCACTGTTCACCAGGCCTCCTATTTTCATTATATTAGCATTTAATTTGGGCTCTGAAACCCTTCCCATAGGTCACAGGGAAGAGAGTGTATGCATTTAAATACTACACCACGCCTGTGTGGCCACTCCCTCTTTTGATTCTCCCATTGACCTGTGAAGTAAAGACACATATTTTAGACATTAGCATGTAGGCTCAGAAAGATAGACAGTTGTGGTTTAATCGGGAAGGTATCAGAAATTTCTCTCTTAACCTTAGCATTTCTTTCACCTCCCCCACTGCTTGCCCAAGGGAGAAAATTAGAAACTATTTAATAAACTGATCCTCCTGCACAAACTAAGATCAGGACAAATTATATGTAGTAGAAAAATTCAATGAAACAATTGCTTAACCGAAATAAAAAGGGTTGTTTTTTTTCCTCTCTCTCAGGCATTCCAGGTGTGATGTGGTAGCTCCTCAAAGGCATCTGAGAGCCAGACTTCTTCTGTAAACTTGTTTTGCCATGTATAGTTCCATTTTCCAAGATTTTCTCATGACCCAGCATGACTGCTTTTAACTCTAGCCATTACATCCACATTCCAGGCTACAGAAATCAAGCCATCTCCTTTTCAAGGAGACTTCCTAGAAGTTCTGTAAAACACAAGCGCTTACATTTCAGTGACTAGAGCTGATGTCTTTGTAGCCTTCAGCCGTATGTGGCTACTGAACACTTGAAATCTGCCTGGTCCAAACTGACATGAGCTGTCAGTGTACAAGATGTACTGGATTCCAGAAACTTCATAAAGTAAAAACAGTAAAATGGAAGAATTCATTCATTTGAAATTTTCCATTATATATTAAATAATACATTTTTTTTTCCTTTTCTTTTCCCTGC